CTTGCCGCAATGATCACCATGATCCCGACCAAACTCCATGTCCAAGATCGAAGCGAAAAGATATTTATTCATTCGTTGTCTTCACACCAATTCCTTCCTTCCTCCTTCCCTCGAAAATCTTTCCATCCCGCACACGTCCTCGAAGAAGAGTAGAAACATTGGAGATCCATTTCGATTCCAACGTTTCAACGGATACGACGAATACGCCTCCTCCTCGTATAGCACATTTCTTATACGCTTTTATTTACGATATTTATTCACTCAGGGCCTCCAAAATATAGGGCAGAAACGTCTCCGATATCCCCACGACGTCCTACCAACTAATCTCAACCTTCCGGAAGCAACCGCCTCGAAATGTATGACAGGTGGCACGTGTCCGTGGCCGCAAGAACCTCCCAGACCCCCCACTCCTCCGAGATTTGGCGAGGGAAGGTCATCCCCCGGCTAACGTCCCCCACTCGCCGTTACCCGATCGGAGTAGGGGGTCAAAAGCTTATTCACACCGGTTTTAACGTTCCTTTACTTATCCGAGTGCGAATAAATCGATACGAGTACGCCTATCTACGCCTATCCTTCTTTCGAAACATTTCGCGAAACATTTGCCAATAATCGTGTCTCGGGAAGGAAAGGAAAATATATGTATTATTATATTTCGTTTGTTAAATTATACAATCATCGATGTATTGAATTTTGAACAATCTCGAAATGATCAATTTTGTTGATTAATCGTTCCGAATAAGTCGAATACACGTTCGATGAATTTGTTTGGATTTGTAATTGCGAGTATATACCGAGTTGTCGGTAATATTTATCGGCGGATATGCGCGGGATAACGTTTTTATAGGGCGATATGCGCAGTAGCGAGGTTTTATCTACGGGAAAAGAGCTGGTCGGAAGGAGGGGCTCGGATTGGCCGACGGAGGCGCATGCCCGCCCGTAGCGCCCGCCTCCTTCGACCCCTCTATTTCAGAGCTTTATGTCAGCAAACTAATGGTTCCCTCTCTATACACACTCTGGCAATGGATAAACGCCTCTGCCGTACGGAGAACGTTCGTGAAAAAGTACCGCAAAACACTTCTTCACGCGTTTACTAAACTCCTTGCGCAGCGGTTCTCATTCACAAGCCCGATTTGAAATTTAAAATTGAGATTGTCGATATGAGAGAGAGGAAATTTTTATTTTTATCTTTCAGGATAATTTCTTTTATTATCGATCGAGATTTTCAATAGTAAAAATCTTAAGGGAATTTTTTTCCTTTTTCTTTTTTTAATTGCGATGTTAGGCGAAGTGATAGAATACGAATTTGCCCGAAACGCATCGATTCATTGTGATCGTAAGTTCACAAGTTAATAATTAATTGATCTTAAAGTCTTATTATGTTATTTCTTGCGTTTTAACTTGCGATTTCGCTTAAGTATCTCGCTTTAGCGAAATTTGAGATTCGCGGATCTCCATTTTAGCGATACATTTTCGATCGAGCCGTATAGCTGTTTCTGTTTACAAACTTGAAACGCGTAGCATTTCCAGAGTAAGCGGGACCATTAGTTTCACAGACTCGTCCAATCTCGATGTTCATCCCTGTATACATCGTAAATCTATCGAGTTCTACCGAGTTAAAGGACCATTCACGATTCTGACCACTTTTTATCACGGATTCGCATCATCCATTCGTTCCATTCTAGTTATATCGCGTAAAAAAGGGTAAAAAGGGATGTTCTTTTCAAGACATTTACACGTTCATATTATAGGAACAATCTTTCAAATAAAAGAAATAAAAATTAGTCTAAAACATAAGTTTTTTAAAAAATTTTAAAATCAATTTCTTTTCTCTTTATATCGTTTAAAAAGGATATTCTTAATATAGCAAAAGCAATCTTTCAAATAACAGGAATAAAAATCAGTCTACAATTAACGTAAACGAAAATTTTAAAAAAAAGTAAAAAAATCTTAAATACAAATTTTAAAATCAATTTCTTTCCAGTCCAATTATATAATTAAAAGGGATATTTTTAATATAATAAAAATAATCTTTCAAATAACAGGAATAAAAATCAATCTATAGCTAACAAAAATAAATGAAAGTTTTCAAAAAAATAAGAAAAAAAATCAAATAAAAGAAATGAATCAACGAAAGAAAGTGTTTAAAATAATAAAGGTAAAGAGGTTTTAAAAATTTCGTAAAGTCTATAATTAGTTTTAATTGGCCGATAAAAAATACAGTTAAACTTTCATAAAAAAAAAAAAAGAAAAAAAGGAGATTTCGTACCTTTTACCCGTGTTTTACGAGCATACTTGAGCAATTTAAGCGTGCAAGTGACGTGAACAAATATTGAGTACCGGTTACATGAAACGAAATCCCGTGCATCGTCTTTTCGTTAGGTGTGAAAGGAGGAAGTAACGACATGGTCGTGGCGCACATGGAATTTCACGGACAAAGTTAGTATCTACATCTCGTTCCAAGAAACCATTACGGACCCTTAAAACCTCTTTTCAAATTCGCAGTTTAAAAATAAAAATCATCTTTCACTTTTTATGGATTTGAATCTCCTCGATGTAATAAAATTTCAAACTTTTTCCTACCTTGTTTCATTTCTTATTCTTTCCTCTTATATACACATATATATATATATTTATAATTATTTCACGAGAAATCAACGATTAATAATAATTCTTATACATACATCAATTTCAAAAATTTTTTTTTCCCATCGTCTTCTTCCATTATTCAAGTTACAAATTATTTTATTATTAAAATAAAATAAATTATTATAATATACAAATTATTAAATTATTAAAAATTATTAAATTACAAATTATATAATATATACATCGTCTTCTTTCATTATTCAAGTTACAAATTATTTTATTATTAAAATAATTAAAAAAATTATTAAAATTAAATAAAATTATTAAANACAAATTATTTTATTATTAAACTAAAATAAATTATTATAATATACAAATTATTAAATTATTAAAAATTATTTAATTACAAATTATATAATACATACATCGTCTTCTTCCATTATTCAAGTTACAAATTATTTTATTATTAAATTAAAATAAATTATTATAATATACAAATTATTAAATTATTAAAAATATTATTAAATTACAAATTATATAATATATAATTATTTTACAGAGAGAGATGGACAATAATTTCATTCGAAATTTCGACCTTTTCTTCTTAAAAAAAAAAAAAAAAAAAAAGAAGAATTACGCAAGACGAGAGATGTCAACCGTGGAGGAAGAACGGTTGTGAATCCAGCGTTGGAATCGACGAAAGAATTCACGAAAGGAAGCTTACGTTGTATCGTTGGTGAAAAGCTCGACGAAACAGCCCGAATGGACGATCATCCCACGGGCGATACGGACTTTACTTTTTCGTTTGATGCATGCCGCGCCCGCGTAATTGAAACGATCAATCAAACACCTGAGAAAAGGAGGGTGATGGTAGGTACTAACGCGGCCACAAATTGCCGTGGAACGTTTTCACACGCGTACGCACACACGTACACGTATAAGCTTTATCGATGCCACACCCCCAATAACCGCTTTCAACGTTGTTGCGTTTGTCTGTTTCGTTGTACAATCTCTTTCTTTTTCCTTCCATTTAAAAATAAATAAAGTGGCAATAATATATTTTTCCTGGAACTCTTTCCTTCTATCTCCATCTGACACGAGGATGCTATATTATTTATTATTTTTTTTTTTTTTTGATAATAAAAATTTAAATTAATATATAAATAAATGTGTATAGAAATAATCAAATTACATGAACAAAATGTCAGTATCAAATTGCTAATTCAAAATTAATATTATGTATATTTGAAAATTGAATTTTTATTATTCGA